AAAGGATGAAAACAGCAATGAGCAGGCACCTTGTTCGTAAGACGGTCTCTGTTGAATCCAAAACGGAGGGTAGACAGGCAGGAGATGGTATTTTCGGGGAGCACCCGAGAGATCCTGCTGCGGCCTGAGATTCTTGGGTATCCCAAGCTGACTGTCCTGGAGCAGCACAGAATCCTTGATGTGTCCTGAGGGGCAGGGCAGGGCAGGAATTACTCATGTGAAAGATAAGGACCAGTCTAGAGGGCAGGAGAAAACTAGACGTTCCCCACAGGTAGTAGTCTTGGCTATGAACAGACTTTAAAGAGGACAATCAAGAGATGAGCAGGATTGGAAAACTCAGACGCTGTGAGCACTTCATCCTGCTTAGCCATCCCCAAGAACGAGGTCCTTGTTGGGAAACAAACACAAAACCATGACTGCTTCCTTGGTGTTGGCTTGGAGGCTTGTTCAGAAAGAGACGTCTAATCGCGGTGCTTTTTCTTCTGTCTGCCCCTTGGTCATCATCCCTCTAAACCTAATCTACTCATTCTGCAGTGCTTCTTGAAGTTTGACCAAGCGCCCACCATCTGCTAGGCTAGACACGGAGGGACTAGTCATGGATTTCTCACAGCCAGTTGGAGAGATGGTTCTCTCTGGACTCCACTCCAGCTCTGAGTATCAGAGACCAGAAGCTCAGGATTGACTAGAATTGTTAGAAAAGGCTTTGTAGAAGAGTCAGGCTTGGATGAGAAGTCTAGATTAAAATCTTTGTATGTGTTTGTTTGCATAAATGTGTGCGCACCCATGTACATGTAGGTGAGGAAGCTAAAAGGGGCATCACGAGAGGGCAGGAAAAAGTCTTGGGGAGGTGGAAGATAGAGAGGGCAATGATATCGTAAGGCAGAAGAGGGACCAACTGTGAAGAAAGAGGGGTGAGGGGCAGTCGGAAGAAGAAGGAATGAGAGCCTACACTAATGACGTGTGTGAAGTTACCTCCATGAACCCCATTACTCTGTACGCTGACATGAACGTTCATTTAAACAACTTTTAAAGTTGGGCATGGTGGCTTCATGCCTTTAATCCCAGTGCTCAGACTGAAGCAAGGGGATGTCTATGAGTTTGAAGCCAGACATCTAGACATCAAATTCCAGGCCAGCCAGGGATCTATGGAAAGACCTTGTTTCAGGGACAAACACACAACAAAACAAACATCCAAGCAGAAAGCTTTTAGAAAGGACGAAAAAGAGAAGAAGCAGACTTGAAGGGTGAGGTCGATTCATCATAGGTGAGGCCAGAAGAGACTAGAGAACTCGCTAACATTACGAGGTGAGGGACGAGAATGTCAGAGTTGTTGGGACTCTGGCCTCTCCCTGGAGTCTCACCGTTGTTCCTCCCGCTCGAGGGCTTACTTACTTACTTTATTTATTTTAATTAATTAATTAATTATTTTGCACAGGGTTTCTCTGTAGCTTTAAAGCTAAAACTTGCTCTTGTAGACCAGGCTGGCCTCCAACTCTCTGAGATCTGCCTGCCTCTGCCTCCTGAGAGCTGGGACTAAAGGTGTGCACCATCACCACCACCAGCTGGTTTGCCGACTACTTTAGAGAGAGACTTTAACAAGGAGGTATGTATAGCAAGGGGCTCACGAATGCAAGGTCCCTGCGCACATGCTAGATGACACCACGTGTGGATGTGAGATCTTTCTGTTTTTTGAACGCTGCTACCTTCTTGAGGATACTGGGCCCAGGCTGTGGGATGGTAGCCTGCCCTGCCGCGGCCCCTTCCAGTGACAGCCCTTTCTGGTTGAGAAAGCTCTTTCTCACAAGTGGTAAGCAAACAGGACAGCCTGGAACCATGGGACTGCCTTGAAAGTAAAATCAGTTGCCAGACAAGCTCACGTCTCTTATTTCGTTTCAAGACCCCACTTACTGGGGCAGCGAATGGTTTTCGCTCCTTCCCCAGGTAAACCTGTAAAACAAGAAGCAAGCCAGAATTTTCTGGTCTTGCGTGTTGGTGCTGAAGGAACCGCAAGCAGCGGAGTGAGGTCTGGCATGTCTTAACATTCATTTCTCATCTCCAGCAGTATGCCAAATAAAATACAGGATATCCAATTAAGTTTAAGTTTCAGATAAACAATGAACACTTTTGAGTGGAAATATGTCCCAAATATTGTGAGTTTCACTGTTTGTGTGGGCGCAGTGTGTCAGATCTGGCAACTCAAATTCCCACTTCAGATTTTCCTAAGTCTACAGAGTGCATTTGGGGTTTCTGTCAGGAGGAGGGGCGTTCTCTCTCCTGAGGCGATTGTGCCCCGGAGTTGCCTTCTTTAAGAGGACCTGAGATGACCTCAGACAGGGAACTTGGGAATTCTGAGAAGAATGTGGAGCCGTGGGTGCAGGAAGGACCTGCCTTCTGGGTCCAGCTCTGCTTCTGGCTGTGACTGACCTTGGACGAATAAATACTTTGTGCCTTTAGACCTCCTTTTTGTCTTGTCTTGTGAACCTTGGGGTTTAAGTGGGAAGGTCTCTGAGGCCTCGGTGTGGAGTAGGTTGGGAAGCAAGTTCTGGACTGAACTGCGGGACGTGAGGAGCTGAGGTTGAACAGTAAGAGCAGGGCCAAGTGCTCAGGTGCCGCCCCTTCCTTCTGAAAATGTCAGCAAAGATAAAAGACAGTAGCTGGAGCCGGGCGATGGTGGCGCACGCCTTTAATCCCAGCACTCTGGAGGCAGAGGCAGGTGGATCTCTGTGAGTTCAAGACCAGCCTGCCACAGAGAAACCCTGTCTCGAAAAACCAAAAAAAAAAAAAAAAAAAAAGACAGTAGCTGGGATAGAGGCTTGCAGACTACAAAGCTTGGGGACTTCGTCTTAGCGCAGAATTGGACCTGCAATCCTGGTGTTTCTGGCATCAGTGGGAAATACACCTTCACATCAGACTGAGCGGTGGGAGAGACTGGAGTTCACTCCCCCCACCCCATTTCCCCACTGACCTGCACACTGAAGTCTGTACATGGTATCCGGGGGCCATGTCCGCAAAAGGCCCCGGAGATATCTCTTGGCCGAATACCCAGGCTGGATCTGCCGTAGAGTCTGGCTCTCTGGCTTGCTTCGGAAATAGAGGTAAGGTTGCCAGGCTCTGTCCTGCTCCCTCTGTGGGGACACCAATCAGGAGATGGCACAGTGGCTGAGCCCCGAGTCTCCTAGGATGCAAGATGGCTAGCCCAATCCTCACCAGCAATCCAGAGAGAGACTCCCAGGAGGGGTCAGAAGGCACCAGTAACAGATGCCTTGCCTAATAAACACAATCCAAGAGCCCAGAGGGCAAAGACCTGAAAGGCTCCTGAAGACACGCAGTCAGAGAGGAAGGAGAAATGACAAATACCAGACCCCATCTTGGTAGAGAGCATTAGGAAAGAATAAAGCCTTGGGAGAATTCCTTCGGCAGTGGAAATCTTGTAGGTCTTTTCAAAACGGCCCCGAGGCAGTGGGAAAGAGTGCGCAGCGACCCCCGCCCTAAGTGCCTGTCCGGGTTCACAGGGAGCCTGACATTTTGAAAATATTTGACCGTGTTGCGTTTCATTTCAGCCAGGGAGAGTTTTATGGGATTTTCCCTCCCAAATTCAGTCCCTCTGTGCAAGCAAGGCACAGGGGGAACAGAGACATCTAGTACTTGATGAGGGATTTCTATTGTATGGGAAGCTTTTAGCGCACGGTAATCCTGTAAAATGCACGAGTTCTAGTGATGTAAAAAAGCTGAGGATGATTTGTGGAAGCCCGTGAATAGCCGGGTGGTGGTGACACATGCCTTTAATCCCAGCACTCAGGAGTTCAAGGCCAGCCTCGTCTACAGAGCGCCTTCCAGGCTGGGCCTCACAGAGTTTATAAATTCCTCACATGGAAACTTTGGTTATATTTAAACCACAACAGAGTGCGGAAGGCTCAACCAGGCGCCCGTGGAGTCAGACAGAACTCAGAGCTTTAAATTTCTCATCAGCACAAAACCTCCAGTTCCCCAAGGACGTTTAATCTCACCGATGCACCAGGACTCAGCTCCAGGTAGCATCCCCATAACAGAAGAACAAAAGCTGGTTTGAAGCAGGCGCTCCATCGGATGTCCTAGAGAGTCAGAGCTCAGACTAGAGTCCGGCATGCTCAAGCTTGTTAGGATTCAGTGAAACCCGACTCAACGGTCAACACAACGAGAAAGAAAGTATGTTAGCTCATGTATCAAAAGGACCAAAGTCTGGAGAGTAATGGGGCTGGTGAAATCAGAGGCTCCATGTCTCCTAAGTTCCACAGGCAGCGAGGCCCTTTGTACCTCTGAGAAATCTTTCACGCCAGTCTTACAGACACGCTGAGCCTGAATAACGAACACAGGAGACACGGAACGGGTCCAGAATGCGCTGCAGAATTGGACGGGAGTTTAAGAGAAATCCTGGGATAGTCTGCACCTGGAATTATGGTCAGGGTGTCAGCATCCACGGCTCATGCTGCCTCAGGACTTACAACCACGCAAGTCTTTAAGCCTTTCCGAGTCTCCAAAAGCGGAGCTAGCAGCATGTGAGGCGTGGGAAGTTCATGATATTTAGAGTCACGCGGTTTCCTGTCTTAGTGGCTCCCACAAATCCAGAGATCACACTTTGGTTCCTGTCTATCGGCCCCCAGGATTGCCGAGGAGGCCGATTAGGGTGAGAGCTATTCCAATACGTATAATGTGGGTAGACACAAGGTGAAATACGGAAGAATGACTTAGAGTCATTACAACCTCTTCTTTTTTTTTTTAAAAGTATTTTTCAAATATTTATTTATTTATTATGTATACAATATTTTGTCTGTGTGTATGCCTGAAGGCCAGAAGAGGGCACCAGACCTCATCACAGATGGTTGTGAGCCACCATGTGGTTGCTGGGAATTGAACTTAGGACCTTTGGAAGAGCAGGCAATGCTCTTAACCGCTGAGCCATCTCTCCAGCCCCCACAACCTCTTCATTTTAAAATATTTATTTATTATGTATACANGATTTTGTTTTAGTTTCCTGAGTTACACGTGAAGTTACCGCTGTGCCTCATTTTGAATGGTGTTTCCTGCCTCAGTTTGATTTTCACCACCAATTGGGTACGGGGCTCTTCCCAAAAGGAACTGTTTCCATTTGGGGACATGTTCTTCTACTGATGCCCAGTAACGAGTCTCAAGAGACCGCACTGCAGGCTGTGGGTGTGGCTTAAGACTGGCCTGTAAAGACTTCTCTACAGCTTCTATGTCCTGCAAGAGGCTGACGTTCCTCTTTAGAGCAGTCTCAGTGGCTTGGAGGAGACATGCCCTGCCTGCGTTCTGATCACCAAAATTAGTCCTCATTTTCTGAAGTAACTTTAATCTTCGTGACACTATTTCTTCATGCCTTTTAGAAAGGTGGATTTCTTGAGTGAACAAGGAAGTCATCTTTACTCAAAGCTGGGCTATAAGCTTTCTGGCTCTCCCCTGAATAGTGTCCTCTACCTCGACCCGCCGGCCCCACGACCCACGGGGCCACGGCCACGCCGCGCCCACCGCCGAGCTCTTCCGGGGGCCCATCATTCTTTTTTTATATTAAATTTAAATCAAATTTCTAGCAATACGGTTAGATCATATTTATAAAGAGGAAATCTAACTAAACTTACGGAACCCACCCGTTTCTCTTCCATATTTTTCCCAAGTCCTCTTTTCCCAAGAGCGTCCTCCCTGGTAACCACCCACTCAGAGGTTACTTGAGAACAGAGAGGGAGACAGAAGGGAGCCTGGGAGGGAGTTTCTGGATGAGAGAAATAAACAGGACAGAAGGAGGCTGTGGTGGGTTCAGGCTGCTCAGCCTGCCTTGGCTTTGCCAGTCAACCCTCTGCTGGCTTCTTCTGAGACGAGTAATTAGTATTCAGGGAACAGCCTGTTAGCCGCTCCACCTTTAATGAGAGGCTTGCTTGACAGGCTGCCTTTTCCACATCTACCAGGCCTCTCCCGGGTCCCTGTGCCTAGCCTTGCCTCTGCAGTCCTGTCTACTTATCCTGGGATAGAAGGTGGCTGTGCTCAGGGCTTGTATGCCTGCTCAGGGCGGCAGGGCACCAGGAAGGTCAGAATGGCCAGGCCAGCCAGCTGCTACCATCCTGGTTCTGTGTGTAAAAGTCCACAGGGGGTGAAGAGAGATGCCCAGAAATGCCAGGGCTGGCAGGTAAATCTCTAGCCTTCACCAGATTCTGCAGATGTATTTTGCAAGCCAAGACTCCCATGCCTGGCTGATGCCCCTGTTTCCCTCTGCTTGCTCTGGGCTTCTGCTCACCTATGTCTCTATTTTTACCACAAGATTCTGTTTAAATTCTTCTTCCTCCAAGAAGCCGCTTTTCCAGTCAGAGGCAGTCATGGTGAGAAGACGCCAAAAGCCCGGACAACAAAGGTACAGTTAGACAAATGAGATTACTCCAGAGTCACAGGCTCTGGCACAGCAAATCAACAAAGTGAAAAAGCCTGCAAAATGGAGTGTTTATAATACAAAGTATTTCTTCTGACAAAGGGTTACTATCCAGAATATAGAAGGAACTCAAAAAAGTTACTAAGAATCCAGTTTAAAGATGGGCAATTAGCCAGGCGGTGATGGAGCACACCTTTAATCCCAGCATTCTGGAGGCAGAGGCAAATGGATCTTTGTGAGTTCAGGCCAGCCTGGACTTCAGAGTGAGTTCCAAAACAGCCAGGGCAACACAGAGAAACCTTGTCTTGGGGCAGCGGGGAGAGGGGATTTATGCAGACACTTCTCAAAAGAAATTAAAACGGGCAAGGGAATTATGAGAAAAATGCATAATGCCATTAGCTGCAGAGACATGTAAATCAAGATTTCAATAAGAGATCACCTCACCCCAATTAGAAAAACTGTTATAAAGAATAAAAAGATCCAGGGAGGTAGCTCATGGGATAGAAGTGTTTGATGCTAAGCTTGGTAAGCTGGGTTCAACCCTTGGGACCTACATGGTAGGAGTAAGGAACCCAAGTTGTCTTCTGAACTACTCATACACACAAACACACACACAAGATAATGCATAATGTATGTAATTTTAGAAAAGCTGAAAACACAGGGGCTGGGGATGTGGTGTTTGCTACCATGTCACGGCCTTAGGTTCTGTCTCCAGCCAGACAAGCCAGGCATGGGGTGCTTATCTGTAAACCTAGCTCACTAGAGATGGGAACCAGAGCGTCAGAAGTTCAAGGTCATTCTCAGCTACACGGTGAGTTTGAGAACAGATAGAAGATATGATCTTTAAAAAGGACAAAAAATGACTGAATACCAAATACTGGTGAGATACGGAGCGAAGGAAATCTTACTACTGTTGATGGGCGTGTTAATCAGTATACAGCTGCCATGGAGAACAGATTGAAGGTCCACAAACACTGAAAACAGATCCATCACAGAACCAAACCCATTACTTGGCAATGTGTGAAGAAAATAAAATCACTATACCTGTATTCCTATGTTTATTTTGGCATCAATAGCTAAGACATAGAATCATCCCAGAAGCCCACAAACAGATGAATAGGTAGGGGGCCTTTCTCCCATGAGTGTTGGGAGCCCAGCATGAAGGTCCTTGTACCTACAGATCTCCGGGAAAACCAGGAATATTAAGCACACGGGATTGTCCTTTCAAAGGAATGGATGTGGAACCTGTTCTTCATTCAGAAAACTGGGAATTGAGGTGATTAACAGACTGGTGATCTGTGTTACCTGTTGGGCTAGACCATATGAGGCTCTTACAACCTGGACAGTCATTTAGACTACTGGGTAATAATTACCTAATAATCTAAATGGCTCTTACATTATCTGCATTGCTAGGAGCTCCCCCAAGCTCCCATAACCAGCAACCAGAGGTGTCTAATAGCACGAGAGATCTCCTCCATATCTTTATGACCAGGCCAGATCCTTCCTTAGGCCCTTAAGTTAGTCCAGGTAGCCTATCTCTGGAACCCATCTCCTTGGAAGAAATGGCATGTACCCTGAGATGAATTTTGATATAATTATGCCTCTTGTGCACTGGGGATTATATTATGCCAGGAAACTTTTTTTTTTCTAAATTATAACGAGTTTAAATAGGCTGGTGTTACAACACCTGGCGTTAGACTTCTCTAGAAGGTTTGGTCCAGGTTGACCAAGTCAATTGAACTGAGTTTTTGTTCTCACCTCTTCACAGTTCATTTCCCTGCCCGACACCTGCAGAGAGTCCCTCGCAGATGCTGTAAGAAGCAGACTAGACTGTAGACCGGTACTCCTGTGTTCTACCTCTAGGTAGGAGTGTGTGTTAGGAGGAGGTAGAAAGCCTACAGAAAGAGAAAGTTCTGGTACTCTACAGCACAGTAGGGTAGCCTAGCTCACAAGAACCAGCCGCCTATTTTACCAATAACTAAAGGGAGATGCTCCAAGGCTCCAAACAGAATGGGATGCTAAGCCAGGTCAAACGCCAGTTCTCCTGTTTACACACACGTATGTGTGAGCAGACATAGCACATGTGTACTGAAACACCACACTGTACCTCCTAAGTCTGTGCAGTCATTATGTATAAGTCAAAAATTAATGTATGCATTGTTGTTGTTTCTGGCTTTGGATTTTGAGAGACTTACTATGCTACCCAGGCTGGTCTTGAATTTTTGGGTTTAAAAGATCTTGCCTCAGCCAACTGGGTACACAGGACTATAGATGCAGATCACTATACCGGCTTAATAAGAGGTCTAAGATGGGACTTAAGAGATGGCTCAGTGATTAAAAGCAATAGTCGCTTTTCTAGAAGATCCCAGTTCAGTTCCCAGCACCCACATGGCAGCTCACAACTGTCTGTAATGGTTTCAGGGGATCTAATGCGCTCTTCTGAACTTGAGGGCTCTGCATGCATACGTGCAGATATACATGCAGTGATACACAGAATACATGCTAGCAAAACACCCATACTAATAAAATAACTGAAAAATTATGCAAAAAAAGAGGTTAGGACAGTGTCTAAGGGAAGCTGTGAAATGTCTCAGCTCGAATGTTTTTGATGGGATGCTACCTCTCTTGGTTTGATCACGACACATTGTAAATATGCATCTAATTATCACACTGTACCCCATAAATACACACAACAAAAACTCAATAATAATACAAGAATCAGAATGCTCCCCCTCTTCAACTGTTCCACAGCACATCACTGTTATACTCCAGCTTGTCTCGAAGATTGCCTGTGTCATGTCACTGAAACATGAATTGGAATTCTTCACCAGGATGTGCCCTCCTGTTGGATGGATGTTGTGGCTCCCCACGACAACGCAGGCCAAGAATATGATCACTCAGCCTCTATCTACTGGTTATCTGCGATCTGCTAGGCGTTGTCATGGCTACTGGTTGGTTAGTTCTTAACTCAGTTGAATCGGGGAGACCCAGAGTCTCTACAGCTGGGCCCATGAGCCCCATTTTTTGTAATCTTTTTGAAGTGTGGAAAAAGATGGCAGTAATGGTTGTGCAATAATGTGAATGTGTTTAGTGCCAGCGTGTTGGCCACATAAAAAGGGTAAAATGTATGTATGCTTTAACGCCCTAGGAGAATAGTGTAAACCTTATAAAGAATTAAATAAGGCTGTCATGCAATTAGAATGATAACAGGTGCAGCAATTCTCGGTATTAGTCATTATTATAAATACTCTCCAGAGTCAGTGAGATGGCTCAGTAGACAAAAATGTTAACTGTGCACACCTGATGACTTGAGTTTGGTCCCTGGAACCCATATTAAAAATCTGGGTGCTTTAGCATGCACCTGTAATCCTGGTATTGCTATGGTGAGATGGGAGGGAGAGACAGGAGCGTTGTCAGGGAGCTTTGGGTCAGCTAGGCTGGAAAACGAACCCCAGCAGCAGAAGCAACAAGGAGGATGCCGGCTTAGCAAGGTGGAAAAAGAAAAGTGACTTGCGTAAGTTATCCTCTGATTTCTACATGTGTTTCATGATGTGTGCATTCTCACACGCAAGCACATACATACCTGCACACTCATACCGTGGCAGATACACCCTCACAAACAAACAAACAAACAAACAAATGTTAAACACAGAAGGGATCTGATTTAAGGTATTGTTTACAGGTGATGGGAGCGTACAAAAGTCAAGTAGATATTGAGGCAACATTGAGATCCGCAGTCTCGGGGAGTTGATTCCACCCTTTTCTAGAAGGACAAAGAGAAGAGCAGGGTTGAGGGTCACCCACAAGAGTCTGGAGCAGGTGTGGGACTGCAGGCATTTCTTGTCAACTGGGGCAGAATGGAAGGGGAACTCTCCAGGCTTTCCCCTTTTTCCTCTCCTGGTCTTCTCCCAGTGTGCCCTACTGGCAAAGATCTGGGATATTGGCACGGATGTCTCTGGAATTGTATGGCGCCTTTGTTCAATCCCATAAACAGAGCAGAGTAAGAGAACAAATGGGCCAGGCACAATGACCTTTGGAGTCCCTTCAAGTTCATAGACAATAGGATGCCCATGCTAGCCGTGGAGAGGTCGGAAGACCCAGGTTTGGATCCTGGTTCCGTCA